GATAAGTTTTAGGTAAATATGTAAATACTACTTGGGTTCATGTAAAATTGTAATAAAGACTTGTAGTCTTTTTGGGTTTACAATTTAGACCCATTTTAAAATGAATGGACAAAAACGCCCTCTTTTATTATCTCAGTTCCAAAATTTATTGTAGGAATAAAGACTTGTATGTGCTTCTTCTACAAAGCCAAGATTTTTTCCATATAATATATAATTGGGATTTTTACTAAAAATTATCTTCACTATTCATGTGCAAAATGTAAATTACTATCATTGGATTTTGAAAGTTCAATTCCTACACTAAAAATTTCTAGTCAGGTTGCTTCATTCCTTGTCATGTGCTAAGTACAAGATTCTCATCAAGGAGCCAAGCACCTAGACGGTTTCCCATACTGATCTTTTTGAATTCAATTCCAAATTCACCGATAGAATGCGCAGAATTAAGGTCTGTGACATATCATAATTCCAAACTCGTTGCACTGTTGTCCATCAGAATCGGGCAAGTTTTTCCGTTTTCTTGGTAAACATGTAAAATCAAATTTTACATCCAAACCATTAGACTATTACATTTGTGCTCCGATTTTTCATTGATTTTCTGAATGTTTATATAAAAGGATTTTCATTTAACTAAATGAGCCGCTAACAGGAGGCCCATGAATGGAAGTAGGCTTATTTTCCAAAGCCCCCGTGGTCAATTCTGCTCCTTTCTCTCTGCTTCAATCTGATTCTTCCTCAGATCAAAAAGCTTCGTGCGTCTCTCGTTTTTCTCTAATTTCTCCAAAATGCTGGCTAGGCTCGCTGCTAAGCGTCTCCTCGAGATCCGTCAAGTTTTCCGTCAACCACCATCTCAGGTATATATTCGTTCTGCTTCCTCTCGCCTTTTTTTTTTCTCCGGCGTTTCCCGATCTCATCCTCGGGTTTTGATTTACAGGCGTCTCGGTGCTTCTCTACGGCCTTAAACTACGTGAGTGTTGGATGATTTCGTTGATATTTTTCTTCTAATTTGTGAAAATGAAATGGA